GCTGCGGCCAATATCTCGTTGACCGCTTCATGTACGTGATTTTTTTCCTTGGGCCTTAATCTATAGGGGTTTTGACGAATGGGGGCGGCGTTCCCCGTATCAATATGATGATGCAACAGGGATGTGCAACGCTAAAAACGTCGAAAAATTCTAAGAGAAGCGTGCGAAGCCTGACTCGTTGGGCATCAGACAACTCGGGGCTCTCAGAACAAAGCGCGTCCACCCATGAGTCATTGCGCCCCTCTCCCTGTTCCACAGCTGCCACGACCCGGCCCCATCCCTACCCCCACAACCGGCGGGTGAAGCGTGTGCGAGAACAGTACCCGCCTGGATGACGGAAGTCTCTAGGCCTGCATTGAGAACCTTAAAAAAGGGTTCTTGGTCCCTCGCGACCAAAGTCTGCGCTCCCATCAAAGTCAACCCCCGGGCCATCTTGTTCGAGGGGGCCAACAAAATTCCCTCAGCGGTCGCCTCTCCCCCCAGCTGTTTACGCAGTCACAGAGGGGAACTAACATTTGGGCCCCGGGGTGAATTTTAAGTCCTCGTCGCCATCCACCGCCCCGATGGTAATTCAATACAGCCCTGATCGATGAGGACATTTAATCGATGAGGGCATTTTACCCAAAAAAAATCAGTGCCCAGAAGACAGGGCACAACGAGAGATCTAGAGACAAGTACAGGCCCTGTCATCCGGATGTCACCAATGCACACGTCTGCCGAAACCTGACCGACAATGCCCAGGGACCCCTGTTTGCCGAGAAACACAGAACCGCAACGGGACACAGCGAGCAAATCATGGTGGCGGACACACCCGTGTCAATCAACATCCCACCTCCATGCCCTGAACGGTGCCAATGATGGCCAAACGAAGCCGCCGCGGTGACAACGCGGTGGCCCAGTGCCGACCACTCGCTGTTTTGCCGCGGCCACCCATCGTTCCCCACAAGCTGTTTAACACACTCCGCAACCCGACCTGACCCGACCGTATGACTCGCGAAATGGACGCGACGCGCAAATGAGGTGGGTGAAGTGGATGCAAGGACCAGGTGTGTGGTGCGTCGCGACTCGCCTGCGGGCCTGACGGGGTGGAGGACGACCCGGAGGAGGATGATTTGTGTGGTCCTTCCCGTTCGGCGCAGCAGCCGTTGGAGATGTGGCCCAGTCGACCGCATCTATAGCAGATGGTCGGGGAGAAGGTCCCCCTCCGAGTGTCCTTCAGCCGTCTCCGGCTGTCGTCGACCCTGAGCCACTTCATGCCGTCGAGCGACTCGCAGATCTGTGAAGGCTGGGCATCTTCGGGTGCCCCCACCGCCGCGGGCGAACCGATGCATGCCGCCACCTCCGCCCAACGTTTGCAGGCATCGCGCTATGCATAGCAAAGACAGTCTGTCGTCCTCCGTGGTGGGAAGAACGACTTTCTGATGTCCCGCGCCAACCCCAACAACCGCTTGAAAACCAGAGTCCAAGCTGTCAGCATCCATCCTCGGGTAGGCAGCCTGCGCCAGCGACACAAGCGCGCTGCGAAAGTCAAGGGCGTCTCCACCTACCCCCGCCTTCGCGCAACGAACTTATGTCGCATATTAGATGGCTTGTCAAAAATTCCTGCCATCTGCGCAAGTGCCTGCTGGAGCATCTCATGATCTTTTGGCGGGATGGCGTAGAAAGCACCCAAGGCGTCGTCGAGGGTAGTCAGCAATGCTCGCAGCGCCTCCGCGTCCGTCCACCCCGCTAAGTCGCAGGTGGCTGTGAACCGGCGACGGAATGCCGCCAAATCAAACCCTGCAGCGGTGAACTCCTTAACGCAGGGAAGGGTCTTTTTCAAAGCTAGCACCTCCGCATGCTGTTTTGGCGGGAGGTTCGTCGAGCGAAGCACGCCGTCCCGCGATAGGTCGACGTTGTCGTCTGCGCGTGCGGGCTGCAAAATCGTTGTTTCCTGTGCGTCCGCTGAAATAGTAGGCACGCGCGTGCGGGCTGAGCAGCCGGGGATTCCCCCGCATCCGCTAAAATGGCGGCCGTGAGCGCGGGCTGCGCGATCGCGGTTTCCCACGTGCAGGAAATGGCGGCCTCGTGGTCGTCTCCCCACAGCGGCGGCCCGCCGTCCCTCTACAGCGGCTCCTCCAGCCCCATTTCGGCTGCTAATACGGTGGCCGTTAACAAGTCCGCGAGGCGGGCGCTCCGCGATCGACACATTTTCATGGGCATTGGCGGCGCGGCGAGGTCGGGCTCCTCTCGCTGTTCCGCCAACTGGGCTCCCACGTACACCATCTCCGGGATTACAACACCCGGGGCTGTCTGGAGAATCAACCCCTCTTCGTCCTCGTCATCCGAAGATGTCTTGGTAAACTGTCTTCTTCTCGTGAACATTTCACAATACTAGGTTACCACTAAATTTCGCACTTTCTGACACCAGATGTAGTGGGTTATAAATAGGCGCACACCGAGTCTTGGAGGCAACACGTTTATTTACTAACATAACTCGAGCCAGTTAACATAACAGATAACTGCGCAATGCTCTGAAGTTAACTATGTACATTTTGGATTAACTATGTACATTTCGGGTTAACTACATAGGGTGGTGGCCACCGCTCCTAACCACTGGAACGGGATTCACTATATGGTGGGACCAGGACAGCTAACACGCTGCCTGATCCTCGTGCGCAGAGACTGAAGAATGAATTGAAGGCGGCTTTATTCCCGGGTCGAACAGCCCAGCTCCCTCTTGGGACTGGGCTTATAACCGCTGCGGTGTGACCGGGCTCCGCCCCTGGCCACGCTCCCTTCTAGATCCTTCGTGGAGGCTCAGTCCCTACCACGTGGCCCTCTCACCCCCTTCTGGGGGTCCCCGTGCCCTCTCGTCTGGTCACATGCTCTCGCGGGTTCACGCAGGCTGTCATGTCCTGACCCGACCTCCGTGATACCCGGACCCTGCCCTCTAGTGAGCCCCGTAATGCAGTACACACACTGGTGCCATAAAACGGCACCCCGCATACAGTACCACTCTTCCCTCGGTACTGTCGCTACACTGTAGTGATACCATTTATGTCGCTACACTTGTAACACTCTCAACCCGGCGTACACACCCCTCCCTGCACATTAACAATAGCACACAGGAAGCTCCTCAACCTCAACAGGGCTCATCAGCGTGTCCCATCTGCAGGCCTTCCGCTCTCCCTGGGGGCTGCTCATTTATATAAACACGGCCAGGAAACTGCCCTGCTGCACTCACCCATAAAGCTCCCCACAGATATATTGCACACGTCAAGGTTCTGCGGGTTTTGGAAGGAGACGGGAGACAGCCGATGACGTAGGTTGTTGAACATTTCTCGTCACTACGTCTGGATGACACGTCTCAACCAGTGGCTCACTACTCCACCAGCCCTCAGTGACAGTGGTGTGTCTGTACACGGTGTTACTCTGGTCACGAGCGGAAATGAGGTTTACAAACGGATACATTCGTACACAGCCTTGGTGTCAATCCACTGTCCAGTGAGGCCCTCCCCACCACGCCATGCGGTGTAATATTTGACCATACTTCACCACACTAGTATGGGCTCAATGATTTACTTGACAATTAGTTCTGTCAGAATCCAGGCTACTAGTTTGGAATTGTGGCCTCTGATTGTTTCAATTGGACACTGCAGCTAGAACAAGCACTAGTGCAGTGCTCTTGTTGAGCGGGTAAAAGTTTGTTTTGTGTTACTGGTAAGAGCAAGGAAATTAACCGATGAACAGTTTGCTACACGTATGGAAATGTATCGAGCAATGATCGTCAAGTGTTTAGCTTCTCAACTGAGAAACCAAGACAGCTGCCACAGCTGTCTAGGTTATATTCCATCTTCTGGAGTGGCAGTTGAACCAACGGCGTTAATTTGTCAAATCTACTGCAATCGGTTTACCAGTTCACGCCTCTTGGACAAATAACCAGTTAGCGCTTGACAACCCTACTCGAGTTTTGTCTGCATCCCATTACTCAAAACGCCCTGGGTGGTCAGCTGTGATCCATTACAATACAATAATCAGATAATATGTACAAGAAAGCATTGTGTAAGCAAGATTTTAAAAACAATCATTGATTGCCGATTTAAAAAATTCGGTCTATGCTACCAACACACAATGGCCTACTTTTGTAAATGCAGTCAGGTTCTTGAGTGTTCACTTAGCAGAAGTAGTGGTTAGTGGAAATTAGTGGTTGGCAGCAGGAAGACAATCAACTCGTGGAATCTAGCCACAAGTGGTATCCTAAATCAACCGGTTACCAGAGAAGAGTATTTATAAACATCTATTGTCTGCTGGCCCACAGCTTTCCCTGCAGAGCCAACACATTTCACTGGACACGGTGTGGTCCGGCAATCTTGGGCCTGAACCAACGAAGCAATTGGGGGAATCACCCCCGCAGTGGTTGACTGAATAACAGGCCTTTTTTTCTGCGCAGTTTCACTTCAAGGAATTGATCAGGGGGGACACTGCCCCCATGCCTGCGTTCCGCACGGCGGGAGCGAGCGCAAGGGGCCCCCCCACAGGGGGCTCTGAAAGGGGAAGGGGCAGAGCCACAGGTGCGGAGAGTCTCGCTTCCCGGACGCGGCTTCCACTCGCGGGAGGGATCCTGCAATGGGCCGAGCATTCCACAGTCATTGTTGTCTATCGAGGCTGGGCATATCTTGCGGGGGCTCTCAAGGTCAATCAACATCAATATGGGCAAGTCAATAACAGTGTTACAGGTCGACTACGGTGATGTACAAGCAGGGAGTGATGTTCCTGTGCAGTGGGTTGTGACTCAGATCAACAGGTGGCTAAGCACAATGCTTGATCGATGACAAAAGCCATGAAGAACAGCTTCACTATGTAGAATGTGGGTAGGGTGGCTTTGTAGGCAGTTGGTTCCAAGATGTGACCAAGCACAATGTCCCCTGCGTGTCATCGCCCGACCTAACTGGAGCATCGTAGAAGCACCGTCCGAAGTGGCACGTTATTGTGGACAAGTCAGGCACAAAGACTACAAATAATATTAGAGATTTATTTCATACTTTATAAGCAACAGTGGCTCACTGGCAAAGCTTTTTATACAATTGTCCCATTGTTACAAATTGCATTTATATTATATGTAATTACAGCTAAAAAAATAAAGCCCTTCAAAATGTGGGCCTTTCCTCAACCCTGTGTCTGCGAGAACGTTATTTTAATAAAGCCTTTTTGCTTTGACGTCCAAGCATGATCCGCGTGTAACTCCGTGTAACGCACACGGACCTTCCCAGCGGCAGACCCAGCACAGAGCCGAGCCGGGGCCGTGTGCAGCGCGCCCCTCTTCCCCGACATCACCAAGCGCGAGTGCACGCACACCAAAACACATGCACACTACTGTGTGTTAACGAAACGGAGCAGCCATAATCAAACCAACGGGTTATATCTATTTAAAAAGGAACGTACGTGTTGGTCAGTTTGTGTATTGTCAGTTTCTTACAGGAACACGTGGGGACTGTCACATTGCCCAACGACCAAACTTGCAGGATGTGTGGGCCGTGCGGTTTGCCACCCGAGATCAAACAGCCGAGCTTTTGCAAGTGGTGGGGGAAGCAGCGGAGGGGGTCCCCGTTGCACTAGGGTGGGCTTTGGTGCTCACGTGGCACCTTCCCGTCGTCTGGGTGTGAGAGGTGGTCAGCCCCTCTGCGTCGTTACGCACGGGGCCCCCTCTTGCAGTTGTTGCAGAGGGCAGGAGTAAAGTTTGTCGGTCACTTGCCGAACAACGGGATGAGTAGAAGGCGGCGCGTTACCTCTCCCGCTCCAGCCAGCGTACCCCCCCCCCCCGCCCCCCCAAAGCTGGGCCAGCTGCAGTCAACACTCATCACAAACCAAACAATGGCATTGCTGCTGCCTAGACCCCCATTGTCGCCACCTGCGTTCTCGTTTTATTGGAACAGTCTTCGTCTGGCACCGAAACGTTTTGTATTTTCTCTATGGGTTGGCTGAGGTGTTGGCAGGATTTTTTCCGTGCCTGCGGCCTCCGTGAGACAAAAACTGCTGCTGCTGCTGCAGAGACTTGCGGATCGTGGGAGGTAGCTTGCCAGCAGCTCGCCCGAGAGCAGCCAGCGAGGAGGGGTTGCTGAAGCCGGTCGTGCCTTGGGAGGATGTGGAGCCACCAAACCCAGTCGCGGAGGTGGGTGGGGGAACCAGAGGGGCCTGCCGGGGGCTTCCTGTCCACACAAACACAACACACATCCTTTTGTCTCCGCGCCACACGTGCACTTGGGTGCTCCTGCATCGTGGCACAAAGAACAAGTGCACAGCACAGGAACACCGGCCACAATTGTGGTCCAGGGAACACACACTGTCAATGCAACAGCGGTGTTTAGGAAAAAGGGGTTTGGACTGAAATGCATTATCTCTTTGCCGGGGTAAACCGGGGAGTTGTGATGCATGTGCAGACGATGTTAGATTTACCTAAACAATAACAAAGAATTTAAAAGTAATTCATGTCAATTAATGTGCCACCCAGGAGGCAAGTTAAGAAGGTGGTGTCCATTTCATTGGGGGCCGAGTTTGGGCCCCAAACATAGAGGGCAATGTTCTTCATTACAAGGCCCGCAGGACACTGGCGGCCCCCGGTCGCCTTTAGTGCGGCCCCTCACGTGCAGCTCCCAACAATACACAAATGTGAAAGCACCCCATCTTCGTACTGTCAAACCCCAATGGTTTCAAATGTGTGGCGGCCCTCAACAATGATGATGTCTTATCGGTATAGGGCGAAGAGACCCACCTTGCCCCAGTACAGACAGGCTGCATATCTCCTCCATATGTCGAAGCTTTTCAGCATTATTTGGGATCTTCTAGGAAGCTAAGCGACTCATAGCAACGAGAACGAAGAGTAGAACCAATGCCTCTCAGTCGGCATGATCTCCACCGGCCTAGTGGCAATCACATTACCTGTACGGCCACCCAGCCACTCGCATACACATACTGCACGAGATAAAGATTCTTAAATGGGATCTCACCGGGTTCATTCAATCATAATAACCACACAAAGTGCAGAAATTAAGAGCATATGTGTCTGTTCATTTATAACTAAACAAATTTTTTTATTTTACCAGGTAAGGCCCACTGAGCTATATAGCTTTTTCAGATGTGACCTGGCCACAAATGATAGCTCAATAAGGTGGCTTATGTGGAAATTAATAGCAGCCAAATACACTAAACGCGTGTTTCAACATGTGGAGGGGAAAACTGTAGGACCCGGCAAAAAATCCACACGACCACGGGGAGACACGCAAACTCCAAATAAACAGCAGGCGCCACGACCTGCTGCATACCAGACGAGGGAGTTAACATCTCGCCACCGTGATGCCCTTTATTCTCTGTCAGGTTGACACTTGGACGATGGCGCGGTACCCAAAGACGGACATTTACAGAGGTACCATCGAAACCGCGGGGGGCTGTCGCATTAGATGGGGCGGACGTACCGTTGGTATCCTTGCTCACGCTGTAGCCGTATGCCGCGTAAGCTGCCGCAGAGGCGGCCGCCGCCCCTGCCATGGCCCCTGCCATGGCCGCCGCGCTGCCCGTCGTCGACTTGCGGCCTCGGCCCCGGGTGGGCCCCGCTGTGGCGGCGGCGAAGGCGGCGCCGATGGCAGCGACGGTGGTGGTGGTCGGCGCCTCGCTCTGCCGAGAGCGGCCTCCGCGGCTCCGCGCCAGCCCTCGGCCCTTGGGGAGGCCTCTCCCCGCATTCTCTGCAGCACAAGGGGTCGCCAAAGCACCGCACACGCAACACGTGACTCTCACGAACTACCACAAGTTGAACCAAGACAACCTCAAACTACTTAACAATTACTAAACTAGACGAAAGGAACCCGAGGAAAACATGAATACGTATCTTGATTCACAGGACTAGAGGACAATCTATCATATAAAGGCAGCTGTCTTTGCAGGCGCAAAATCGTTAAAGGGCATTCGATCCTTTCTATTCGGCGGAATGTCAGATGACTACATCCTTTTTTATAGTGGGAACAACGATATTTAGAGCAACAAGCACTCTATTGCAATGTCAATGTCTGCCTACTTGAAAGAATAACCTGGGAGCACTCATCAGCCTTGGCAGCCCTGAGCCAGTGGTGGAAATTCCACATTACCATGGTAGAGGCCGGTTTCTCTACAGGACGACCAATGTTGACTTCCCAACAAAGTGGTGCTCATTTTACTTGCCGTGGTGGCGGGATGTTATTTCCCTCGCCTGGTATGTAGGAGGCCGTGGATTCAATCCTGATCCTGACACCTGTATGTTTGGAATGTGCATGTTCTCCCCGTGGTAGTGTGGATTTTCTCCGGGTCCTCCGCTTTTTCCCTCCACATTTATAAACATGCATTTGGAGTGTTTGGCTGCTATAAATGTCCACGTGATGAGAAGCCACTTTGTTGGGCTATCATTTGTGGCCAGGTCGCTTCTGAAAGAGAGTTATATAGCTCAGTGGGCCTTAAGTTGCCCTCATTTCAAAATATGATCTCGGTATTTACCCTGAATCCCGGGGATCATAATTATGCCGGCCTACCTGACTTGCATGTGAAACCGACCAGTCGTTAATGTCACTTTTCTATAATTGATTAATGCCCATTTTCTTCTCACGATCTGCTTTGTTCCGCCGTATTTGTAAAGCAAAAATATACGGCCATGTGTCATTAAGCATGTCATATATATTCATATTCATGTTCATTAAAAGTTATTAGCTACTAAAATGTTGTTTTACGGCAGGTATCCAGACATTATTAACCATTATTTGGTAGCAATCCTAAGTCATTAACCTATACAGTCATACCTCGGTATACGACCGCTTTGGAATACGTCGAATTTGGTATACGTCGTGTTTTGACGAGAAAAAAATGTCTTGGGATACGACGTCTTGCTTGGGATACGACGCGCTTGCTAGAACTTTTATGGGTCGGGATGAGTCACCGCGTACAGTACACAATACTGTTACGGCTCTAACAAGCCGTAACAGTATTGTGTGGAATGACCACATAATTTCACACTTCAGGAACATTCTTAGAAGAAGGCAAAAACAAACTTCAATGGACAGGTTTTTAGTGAAACTCAAACCTGGTGAGCCTCAACCAGGCCCAAGTCAAGAAAAAAGACAGAAAAAAGAAAGAGATAAAACCCCAGAATTTCAGCTTCCTGAAGTTTTTTTATGGAAGGGGACTCTCCTTCCAAAAAATAACATCTCCTCCTCCTCCACTTCCTCACCACCATCCTCGTAGGCTCTGAACTCCTCTCAGCAAGGTAAAGTGACGTTAAATTATATTTTTATTTCAATTTCTTTTAACCCCATTAATGTATAATATGCCATATAAAATATCATTTCTTATACTCTGGAACGGATTATTTCCTTTCCCTTTATTTCTTATGAGAAAAATTCGTTTGGTATACGTCATTTTTGGTATAAGTCCTACCTTCTGGAACGAATTAACGACGTATACCGAGGTACCACTGTATATTAAAATGCAGCCAAGAGTAGTGTACAGTGGCGTATATCCATAAGACATAAATCCCTAAAGTCAATGTTCAGTAATGGTAAATCATTTATGTTTCTCCTTCCGTGGCTGCTCCCTTCTGTGTTTCCTGCCCATTGCCACGCTGTAGCCATGTGCTCGGCATAGCAGAAAGACAGTCATGGCGGCCGCACAGGAAGCAGGTGCATGTGGTGCGGGCCGTGCATGCCGCAGTCGGTGTGGTGCAGGCCGTGTGTGACGTAGATGAGGTGGGATTGGCCATGTGTGACGCGGTAGGTCTGGTGACATGGGCTGTGTGTGACGGAGTAGGTGTGACACGGGCCGTGTGTGACGCAGGTGTGGTGGCACGGCCCGTGTGTGACGCAGTGTGGCACGGGCCCTGTGTGACACAGTGTGGCACGGGCCGTGTGTGACGCAAAAGGTGTGGTGGCACGGGCCGTGTGTGACGCAGTGTGGCACGGGCCGTGTGTGACGCAGAAGGTGTGGTGGCACGGGACGTGTGTAACGCAGTGTGGCACGGGCCGTGTGTGCCGCAGAAGGTGTGGTGGCACGGGACGTGTGTGACGCAGGCGCGGGACTCGCGCGCACCGAGAGGCTGGTCCGCCGCCACGCTCCGTGTGGGCGTGCTGCAGTGGCTGGCCGGCGCGCCATCATCCACGATCACCAGCATGTCGTTGCTGCTCTCGTCCAGAGGGATGGAGCCTGGTTGCAGCTCGCTGCCCAGGGACATCTGAACCATACACACGCAAGCACATCACGTCCAGATATCTCCCGTGTAACCTATTAAGGCCGGCACGGCACACGATCCGATGTTTACACATTGCAGCAGGTAGTAATTTAAGGCTCAGTCGACCTAGGAACGGTTCAGATATCTGCCACTGATGTTGTCTGTGAACGGGAATCGAACTGGGGGCCACTGAGTGTGTGCGAACTGCTGGTATGTTATTGATATTTACCAGAGAAATGACACTGAATGCTTGTTTAATTAATGTAATTCGGGTGAAGTCGCCTCAGGCCAAATGGAGATATTAACTAATTACTGATGGGGTCCACAGATCAGTACTGAACTTACGTGGCTGGGATTGCTGTGCAGTCCTCTATTTAACCACAGAATTACTTGCAAAATTATCTTTGCTCATTTACATTTTGGTTACGCAATCGTTAGTGGCCAATGACAAGGACACTCCGCATACAGCGCTGCAACGGCAACTTTTATTCCAATAATTTAGGATTGCAAAGCAAAAAAAAAACTATAACGCTCATCATTTATTCTTGCAGATCGAACGCACACACGCAGCTCGCGCCAGCCTTCGGTGGTCACGCCGGCCTGGCGCCGCTCACCGGCTGGCTGTGGCTCACCGGGGCTCACCACTCACCGGCTCGCCGTGGCTCACCACTCACCAGCTCGTCATGGCTCACCAGTTCACCACTCACTGCGGCTCACTATCTCACCACGGCTCACCGCTCACCTCGCTGTAGGGGCTGGGCTGCGCCGAGTCGACGCTCACGTAGCACTCGTCCCACTCGGCTGACGTGTTCGAGTTGTCGGCAGATGGCAGCGAGGGGGGCGCCACCCCGATCTCCAGCCGCATCCGCTTGCCATACCCTTCCCCGACCTGCTCTCGCACCACCACCGCCACCAAGCAGGGGCCCACAGGCACGCCGGCAAAACGTTACTGGGGTGGTGATGAGGCCCCACCGTGGCACGTTCGCTGCATTTTGCCGAGGTTCGTAAATCGAATCCGGTAGGCTGCCCATGGTTAATACTGCAGGCGCGTTAACCGTGAAATACCCATCGCCTGCTTCACAGTGGACGTTAATATTCCATTACATCATTCGAAAAAATTGTAGGCCATTATATGCTGACGTCATGCTCCTATGAATGTGAACCATACCATCTTCACAATAGCCTTGTGCCATAAGGATGGCGCAAATACCAAATTTCCTCAATCGTTGTTCCTGGACTATTGCAGTAACAACTGAGTAATGGCTTCTCAGCAATGCAAAATGCACCAACAGAATGTGAACACAGCATGAATGCACAAAATGCATGCAATATACACACAAGCAACTTAACACATACGCTTTACCAGCCACTATTACGATGATTCATGATTTATTAATGGGGTTAGGCCACGTAATGATCCGGTAAAATCTGTGTCCTAAGAACCTCCACCACCCGACACATTAAAAAAACATAAAATGGTCGTGTGGTGTACAAGCGTGAAATGTGCCATTTGTTTTTGTTTCAGTTCACCGGTGAGTAGAAGAACAGTTCTCAAAATCAAATTTAGTAAGTTTGGCCCAAAACTAAAATCAATTAATGACGGCGCATAAGAAAGGCATCAATATTGCACAAATCACCGAGGACCACGCTGGGTGGGGCGTTGTGCAGACAGGGCGAGTGGTGAACCTTCTCAACGGCTGCAGATGAAAAAGGCACTAAAACCTGACGTGACTAATATTCTTTGAAGAAATGTTGAACTAGAAACAGACTAAAATATAACACAAAGGAGGGAATACGTCTTTCTAAAACAAACGGAAAATGTTGTTGCTGCTGGGGAGGTGTGCGGCACGGCGTGGTGGGCACGCAATGCCCGCCACGCCATCGAGGCGCGCGCACGGGCACGCACGCACACACACGGGCACGCACGGACACACACGGACACACACGGGCACGCACGGACACGCACGCACACGCACCTGCTGCTTCTCGGCGTACTTGTCTCGCTTGCGCTTGCGTTCCTTGGCGCGGCTCACCTCCTCCTGCTGCTTCTTTTCTTCTTGACGCATCCGCACTGTACAACCATCACCAACGACAGGTGCTTCCAGGAACCCGCTAGCACTCAAACTGCACTGGTAGGGAGGGAGCTTCACCAAGTTTATGTGAATCACCAACCCTCGTATGTTGTTGATGTATGTGTGTTGAACTAATTTTGCACCATCCAACCGTGCTAATCGCAAGTGCGGGGGAAAGAAATTCGTTTTTGCCTCTACAATGTTCCACTCAAGGGCGTGCAAACACAGCCGCCGCTGCCTGCCGCTTAAAATTCTTTTCACTAAGATGTGGTTTTGCAAAGCCATTTGCCCATAAAACAGGCGGTGCCCTCGGCCACTGTCAGGGTGAGTGCTGGCAGCAAGAGGCTTCAACAACGCCGTCCCTCTCGCTCTTACGCTTTTTCTCAAGCTCTTCGTCGTCCAGAAGCAGGGAGACCACCTCCTTGGGCTTCAACGCATCCGGTTTGAAGTTGCTGCCCGAGATCACCATCTTCTGGATCTGCACGCGGAGAGGTTCCCCCGTTTCAAGTTAAATGTTTGTGAGCCGGGCGAGAACGCACGAGACGCGGGCAGTGCAGACACGTTCATAACTCGATAGTGAATCAAACAAAAGTGTCGTAGTGCAGAGGGTGTTAAGCTCCCCGTGGTGGATAGCAGCTGCACATCCCAAGTGTACATCTGCCATTTATTTGGAGCCAGGGCGCATTGAGACCAACATGGGACACCCTGGTAAGAACTTCTGCCAGTAATGACCACAAGTGTGCACGATGGGAAAGAGAATCCCTGGGTACATACAGCAAACTAAACCGTTGTTTTAGACTAGTATAATCAATTGTGTTCATTATGTAGTGGCGAACTATACTTTTTTTATTACCAGTGTTTACACACGCAAAAAGCTATTTCTTCAAGCTGATGTCTCAACAAAGGGAATATGAACCAAACACGTTGTGTCTGACAAAGACAACATTCCCCACAAACCTTTCCCAGTGCTCTGAATGGCTGTGCAATCATGTGTGAGTCACTCTGGATATTTTATGAAAAGGAACTCATGGCTAGGTCTGATATAAGCTATTAGAAAATACAAATTTTGTCAGTCCACTGCTGACTGCTGACCTCCCCATGCCATGTCAATTATGGGGGTTGTTTGACCATACTTCATCACTTTCGGTATGGGTTGGTGAAGGAAACAAGGACCAGTTCACATATCGATGGTGATGTTAGCTATGGCTGGGAATCGTGCTCAAGTAGCTGGGTTTAGAGCACATTGCTAACCAATGTGCCATTGCTCCCCCAACTGAGAGTTTCACGGAGGAAAGATTGGAAACGACTGGGTTACACCACGGCGCTTCTATGCTGTCAACGATGGCCGGACAAAACGTCGCGGAAGCATTCTGGAGTAATGGGCTTTATGCCAGATGGCTTTGGCTGAAAGTGTTCAGCGGCCTGATACGAGAGCAGCAGAGCGAGCGGGCGCGGGCAATGGGGTCGGGCGTGATGGGGCGGGCGGATACCTCGCTCTTCTCCTTAGCGCGCTGCAGGATGCGCTCCTCGATGGTGCCCTTGCAGATGAGGCGGTACACCGTCACCTGCTTGGTCTGGCCCAGACGGTGAGCTCGGTCCATCGCCTGCTGGTCCACGGTGGGGTTCCAGTCACTGTCGTAGAAGATCACCTGCGCACGCGGGCAGTCACCCCCGGCCTTATTAGTCGTTCCAATATTCACAAGTTGCTCAACATAAAAGGTAGGGTTGCCACCTGTACAGATTTGACCTGGTCGGTCTGGAAAATGGTATCTGATCGGGTGGTAGGAATTAATTCGGACCGAGATCTGGTAAGGTTATTGTGTTGATGATAGACCCAGGCTGAACGAGAAATGGGTGGGTTTGGTCTGTGGGAGAGGTGGCAACCCTACCATGAGGAAACAACTATGTCCCCCACATGGGCAACGACTGTCCAATAACGCAGCCCTGACACAATCTGGCTTCTTCAAAAGTCAAGGCATCCAAGTGATAATTCTTCATGGATTTCGATTTAAAGCTTTCGTGACTGCAGGGATTCATCTTCTTGGTTCTTTCGGTAAAGTCACGTAGAAGGGAAGTAATAAAATAATAAAAATAAAACATAATAAAACAATTCTCACGACGTTTCGGCCACAACGCAAGCAGCCGTCCTCAGGTGAAAACCAGGTCCGTCGAGGCGACAGTCTGAATGAAACAGCACACGAGCTTGGAGCATATATATAAGCTGGGCGCATTGACAAAGGAATTTGCATATCAAAAGGAATTTAGCATATTTATGGGAAATGCAGGAATGTGATTAGTACTGCATATGCATGTGCATTATGCAGGATTAACAGCATCAAAGGGAGCTGCAGTTGCTGCTGCTGCTGCTGCAGTTACTGCTGCTGCAGTTTCTGCTGCTGCTGCAGTTGCTACTGCTGCTGCAGTTGCTGCTGCTGCAGTTGCTGCTGCTGCTGCACTTGCTGCTGCTGCTGCAGTTGCTGCCTTATCCATTTTAATATAACACTATGTGTTATTCTACCCACCCTAATGTGTATCACACTGCTATATATTTACTATACAATTACGACACCATACATTACTCTGCACACTGCACCATGCCAGTGAGTGGAACGCGGTCTGAAACACGGTAGGACAAACACCTCAGCCGTGGCAGATCACTGTTACAATTCAGTGGGCTCACATGACATTGACTTCTCCAAGACAGAGGTTCTCTGCAAGCCATCTGGCTATCATGAGAGATTCGTTCATGAGGCGATCCACATATACAAACACAGAGACAATTTCAACCGAGAAGATGGATTCTGGCTTAGCAATCATTGGAAGGACGTAATAAACCATTTCGGATCTTAACTGATTGTGTTCACGTTACGGTGACTTTCAGACCGCGTTCCACTCACTGGCATGGTGCAGTGTGCAGAGTAATGTATGGTGTCGTAATTGTATAGTAAATATATAGCAGTGTGATACACATTAGGGTGGGTAGAATAACATAGTGTTATATTAAAATGGATAAGGCAGCAACTGCAGCAGCAGCAGCAGCAAGTGCAGCAGCAGCAACTGCAGCAGCAGCAACTGCAGCAGCAGTAGCAACTGCAGCAGCAGCAGAAACTGCAGCAGCAGTAACTGCAGCAGCAGCAGCAGCAGCAACTGCAGCTCCCTTTGATGCTGTTAATCCTGCATAATGCACATGCATATGCAGTACTAATCACATTCCTGCATTTCCCATAAATATGCTAAATTCATTTTGAAATGCAAATTCCTTTGTCAATGCGCCCAGCTTATATATATGCTCCAAGCTCGTGTGCTGTTTCATTCAGACTCTGTCGCCTCGACGGACCTGGTTTTCACCTGAGGACGGCTGCTTGCGTTGTGGCCGAAACGTCGTGAGAATTGTTTTATTATGTTTTATTTTTATTATTTTATTACTTCCCTTCTACGTGACTTTACCGAAAGAACCAAGAAGATTCTTCATGGACTTGCAGTGTTTCCAACACCGCACAGCCCAATGCCTTGGAGATAAACTTCTGCTCACTAGGCCCAGGAGACAGCCAGAGATCTTGCGGCGTGAATGGGCTGGGAATCCCCAATGCATGATTTGCTTCTGAACATAATCTCTCATCCACAAGGCCATCCCTGTTTTGAGGCTGGCCCGACTGGCCCCTTTTTGAGGCATTCCAAAATCAACTAAAATATGCTCTCAATCTACATCTTATAGCCCTCTGAAAGGCAAGTCAATGCCCTTTCCAAAGTCAATAATTGCATTTGCATAAGGATCATAGTTCTACACGGCAACAAATCTAAAATATGACAATAAATGACAATGTATTAATAATGATATTGCTGTGTTTTTTATATACACCAGCCAGTGTGACCCAGCACATTATAACTCATCTCAAACAATCGTAAAGGCACCACCCAGTGGCAACTGTCCCTCTAGGTGCAATGTGACTCAGCATCTGGCCTGCCAGTAGCGGGTGGGGGGTGTGCTTTGTGTAATCAAAATTGCGCAATTTTCAGGTAAATATGTTATTTGGTTAATTTAAATCGCGACGCTGCTGGCACACTATGGCCTACTCTTGCACTTGATGTCGAGGGGATCTTTAACATCCACTGTGAATCAGATGGTGTGTAGTATTATCGTGGTTATTACACCCACAACAATATTCAGGGCGGCTGCTAGATTAGAACCGTGAACCTCTACGACAACCGCCAGGCCATATCACCGTGCCGGTGACGTGGTTAATCTCTACGCCGGAATCGAGAGGAAGACGGCTGGAAAATGCCAAGTTGCTGACGCAGTTCGATTCACGAGAGAGAGAGCGTTGAGGCCCTCCGCGCCGGGAAATGGCTGTGCACCCCCCGAGCGCCGGGGAAGCTCGTACCGTGTCTGCGGCCGTCAGATTGATGCCCAGGCCACCCGCCCGCGTGCTCAGCAGAAACACGAAGATGTCCGATCTGCGGGGAAATGCATCGGTCCGTCACGGGGACGCTCTGTCCACTCAGCGCACTGCTCCGTCAATGCGCGAGCGCTTTAACGCGAGTGAAATGGCAACATCAATCCATCCCTAGGGTGCTTCACAAGAAAAAAACAGCACTTCGTAGGGAGACCGGTAATGACGATACGACAGGGGTACCTGGTCTGGAAGTCGGCCACCATATCCCTGCGCTCGGAGATCTTTGAGGAGCCGTCAAGGCGGATGTACGTGTGGTTGCGGTACACCATGTACTCCTGCACCACGCGGGACGGAACAAGCGGCGCCATCATCAACAACAACGACTCCGTTCGGCTCGGTCAAAGTCCAGGCCCTCTAGATATTGCAACACCACAGGGTTCGGTGACATAAAATGCAACAACTCAGAACCCCACTGTTAAAAACTTTTCAGGAGTGTATATTTACGTGAAGCAGGGGTATATCACATACATGTATGGGAAGATCTTTGATCAGCTCGCATTATTTGTGGTAGGCTCGCAATCACCATGTCATGAGGTCAAAGTATGATTAAGGTTGAACTGAGTCAAATGAATAACCCCTGATGGGAACATTTGGTAGGAGATGCCAGTTTAAGTGCTGTGGTTACACTTGGTCCCATCACAAGGGTTTTCACTGGGGACATAGGGGCCGTCCATAAATGACGTCACGCACCTAGGGGGGGGAGGGGGGGTCAGACATTTGTGACGATGTGTGATGTGGGGGGGTTTTAGAAATGTGACGTCACGTAAAAATGCTCAACTTTAAATAAATATAAACACGTTCTACTTAATTAACTAGAATTGTTATAACACTAATTTTTCATTATTAACTTTTTTATTATTTAAATTTATTAAGGTCACCTTTTATTTATAGTATAGATTATATTATGATGTTAAACATAAGAACCGGAAGTCAAACTACGTCACACTTTTATAGAGAATAATACTTCGTCAGGAAGAGGAAGTGCAAATACAAATTTTTTGCAGTCGTTATATTAAAAACCTCTCTCGAGAAACGGTGCCTTAACGCGGCGAGAGTTTGTGTACGTCTGAGAAGCTGATCGCTATACCGTCGAGAGCCTAGTGCTCTCAGAAGGGTCACCCAAGGCGGGAAGACTTCAGTGGAGACGTCAGACAAAACCCGTTTCGAAAGGTCCCCACATGACCTTTTCAAATAAATTGTGATCCAAGAAAGCAACGGGAAACTACTTGGATTATTTCTCCCTTGAAAACTTCAATGATGACAAGCAAAATCAACAAAGGCCCTGAGTATTGGCGTCCTTTAAATAGGACAGGGGTGCTAAGAATCTCCGAGCTTGTGTCAAAGAATCCTTTCAAAGTAGCAACTTGGAACGTTAGAAGTTTACTTCAAGCAGGAAAACTAGCCAATGTCATACAAGAAATGGATCGACTTAAAATCAACATAATCGGTCTAAGCGAAACTAAATGGCCTGGAACAAAAAAGTGTATATCGAGCGAACACCACATCTTCTGCTCCGGAGGAGAAGAAAACACCAAACAAACATACGGTGTCGCCTTTATAGTACACAAGAAATTAGCGAATAAAGTCAACAACTTTACCCCAGTATCAGAACGAATAGCACTACTACAATTAGCAGGCAATACAGTCAACGTGAACATTCTACAGGTTTATGCTCCAACAGCAGATAAACAAGATCATGAAATCGAATCGTTCTATGAGCAACTAACCAACAAGCTGAAGCCGCTGAAGAAGCAAGATATCACTATAATCCTCGGCGACTTCAACGCCAAGGTTGGCCACGGTCGAATGCAGAACATTGTCGGAGAACACGGACTAGGAACAAGGAATGAACGAGGCGACAGACTGGTTCAATTCTGCCAAGAAGAACGTTTCAGTATTGCTAACACGTGGTTCCAATTACCACCTCGACGACTGTACATGTGGACCTCGCCGCAAGACTCCGCCAACAACATCGTCAGGAACCAAATCGATTATATCCTAATTAACATCAGGTTTAAGTCCAGTGTGATTACAGCAAAAACCTACCCTGGAGCCGATATATCGTCAGATCATAACCCAGTAACAGCTACAATAAGACTCAAATTGCGATCAATACAATGTACAAAGACGAGACGAGCAGACCTGGAGAAACTGAAGAACAGCGCCAATAAAAGACAAGTAGAGCAACATCTCAACGATAGCATCCGCTCAATAACAACAGAAACAGCAGATGTTCAGGAGTACTGGCGCTCGTTCAAACAATGCATCACAGAAACAACAGAAGTCATGCTGGGACATCAGCCACCGAAAAAGAAACAACGATGGATGACACATTATATTCTCGATCTAATGAGCAAACGAAGAATGTACAAAAATAACGACTTGAAGAAGTACAAACAAATGCAACAGAAGATCAGAGAAGCAATCCGACAGGCAAAAGAAAAGTGGATGGAAGAACAATGCGCCGAGATTGAAGAACTAATTAAAAAACATGACAATTTTACTCTGCACAAGAAGCTCAAAGAAGCTGGTAACATCTACAGACCAGCCCCAACAGCTACCTTGTATGCGGACAACAACCAACCAATCCTAAATAAACAAGAAAAAATGGACACCTGGACAAACTATATACACAAGTCAGGCAAAGCGTGCGGGCCCGACACAATCCATGTAGAATTGCTCAAACTATTAGACAGCAACAACATACGACAACTGACTAATTGGTACAATCAAATATACAATGGCAATAAAATTCCATCCGACTGGCTACAATCCATCTTTGTGGCCATACCAAAGAAAGCAACAAGCCGGAAATGCGAGGACTACAGACTGATAAGCTTGATGAGCCACATGCTGAAAGTCTTCCTGAAGGTGATCCAACAGCGCATACGCTCCACATGCGAAAATGCATTGAAGAACACACAGTTTGGCTTCTGTAAAGGACTAGGCACAAGAGAAGCAATCTTCTGTCTACAGATACTACTACAGCGATGCTACGAACATCAGAAAGAAGTGTACATCTGCTTCATAGATTACGAGAAAACCTTTGACTCAGTCGACCACGACCGACTAGCAGCTCTATTAAAACTGGGACTAGATAAAAACGACATCAACGTCATCATTGCTCTTTATTGGAAGCAAACAGCCCAACTCCGATATGACAACGAATTGACAGACCCAACACCAATACAAAAAGGTGTACGACAGGGCTGCCCACTTTCACCCAGTCTTTTCAACATCTACTCGGAGCAGATTTTTGATCGAACACTAGCAGATAAAAACATTGGTATTAAAGTCAATGGACAATACATCAACAACATCAGGTATGCTGACGACACTGCACTGCTGGCCGATTCAGAACAAGACCTACAACAAATCTTGGACGAGGTTGCCACAGAGAGTCAAATATGGGGCTTACGAATTAATAAAAAGAAAACAAAGGTTATGAAGGTCAGCCGAACTACAAGCGAAATAACAATCAAGCTGGGCAGCGAAAAATTGGAACAAGTACACCGATTTAAATACTTTGGTGTAATCATTGACGATCAGTTGAACCATGAAGTCGAAATCAAGAGCAGAATTGAACAAGCAAGGCAAGCATTTATTAAATGGAAAACACTCCTTGCAGACCGCAACTTGAGTATATCACTGAAACTGCGCACACTGAAATGCTACATCTGGTCAATTTTGCTGTACGGAGTAGAGACGTGGACACTGACAACAACAGCAACAAAAAGGCTCGAAGCTTTCGAAATGTGGCTGTATCGAAGGATGCTGAAAATCCCATGGACAGCCAAAACCACCAATACACAAGTTCTGCAAGATATGGGCACTGACAGGCAACTGCTGAAGACCATCATTAGCAGGAAGTGTTACTACCTAGGCCACATTGCCCGAAACGACCACAAATACCAGCTATTAAAGCAAATCCTGGAAGGAAAAATCGAAGGGAAAAAACGACCAGGACGGCCAAAAACGACATGGCTCAGTAACATCAAAACATGGCTACAATTAACAACAGCACAAACTCTACACGCCGTGCTAGACCGGGACCAATATCATCGTGAAGTCGCACACGCCGTTAGGCAGCACTAAAGAAGAAGATATTAAAAACGCTTGATAGTTTCAAATAAGAATTTTAAAAACGTAAGTACTATTATTTCTGTCATATCAATCGACATAATTTTAACTCACACACATTTGCTTATTAAATATTAATTTTTAATGTCAGTATGACATTTTTATACTATTATTATGTTACGATAACATTTATAATAATATAGGGAGAAAAGTTTTTGGGTATAAAGATATCAAACAGCCATTTTTGAGCATGGAGGGATAATTCATCATGGAGTACCTACTAAATATACGTCATTCGGCAAGCGTACAATAGCCAACACATCCTCCATGATTAATTATTCCTCCATGAAATTTTTGTTCTTTGTACCCAGAAAATGGCGTCATGCTTCTTTTTGCCATTGTCCTACTATGAACCATGAGTGACTGAATTGAACCATTTAGGATCTTTCATTTAACTACGGAGTTCCCTTATGGACATGAAAAAAAAATGTAACCGCTCACAATTCAGTATATCATGTGCACGATTTAGTATTTATGCGCAAAAAAATAATAAAGTTTTTTTTATTCCATGAAGGAGCATTTTGCTTCTCCATGGGAGAATGGAGAAGCATACATTTTGTAAATTTTTTGAATGATTGTTATTAAACATTTTGATTCTGATTCTAACAGGGATTTTCATTCTGTGGAATGAATATGTGATTGTTGTTATTGTACTCTCCATTTTGCTTCGTTCTACTACAAGGTTTCAAGTATTTTTTTACGGTTATAATTACTTTTATATTGTTTAATTATAAGAGAATTTCAATATAATATTCTGAACATCTGCAGTTTTAGCTAGATGATTAATATTTTCAAGTGAATTTTATGCTAAATTTAAGCTTTCCAACACCTCATTTTAATACGTGTTTTCTCCTACAACATCAGAGTGCAGTGCCACATTAAATATGCACTACAATGATAACAGTTTAAAGTGATTTGAAGCAAGTTTTATTTTCAAAATGGAAATATAGTTTTAGGGGGGGGGGGGGGGCAGAGCTTTGTGACGTCATCTTTGAAGGGGTCTGACTTTTTGTGACACTGTGTGACGAGGAAGGGAGGGGGGGTAAAAAATCTGCCAAAATCGCGTGACGTCATTTATGGACGGCCCCTTAACAGACGTTAAGACTGACCCAAGTTCAGGGGGTGGCATGTGACTGGTTTCCTTATTTAGACCCAGGAGGGCACCATCGATATGCGATGAATATTTTGTGAAGGAGATGTGGGTTACCATACAAGGCGAGTGTCAGAAGCATTTTTGTTTAGCTAAACCACGGCAATCTGCCCTTAAACACTGGCAACACGATGACGTGGCCACGTAGACGTGGCAAAGTATTCAACATCCATTCCAGAAACTCCCCACAAACGGCCACGGCAGGAATGGAATCACTTACTGCATGTGTAAAATAAGGCCGTGGTAAAGGGTGTGTTAACCGCTGGGCTACCCAGCGTAGACAATTATGATATACAGAACAGCGTCATGTCGTGCGAGTCTGCTTTCACTGCTGCTTTTATTCCCCAGCCATCATCTGACTCGGGGCCTGTGGTCAGCAGAGCAAGGGTTGTGCTCTATCCAAAGAGTGAACGCAAACCACTCATGAGCATCATTGTGGAGAATAAAAGTATGAAAATAACTAAGTAGCCAATACGCCTCCTGCACATATTCGTCTCTCCACTATAAAAAATGTAAGTATTTTTTTTTACAAATCCCGTCAGCTACGAAGCCTTCTGAGAGTTTTTTTTCAGCACTGTTCGTTTTATACAAGTCTGGACCGGTTTAGACATTCTGCGTCTCATCATCAGTCAGGCTCGCTTAAACCAACACTGACCAATACACAACATAAACATTTGGTGGAACCATGGTGCAGTGCGGTAAGAAGGGTAGGCTTGGCTCGTTCACATGTTTGTGTTGACATCGTCCTCCTTTTCCCCACACATTTGGTTTGTACGATCGCCCCATTACAGCAGCCAGACAGCAATGAGCGAACAAACTGAAGACACTCGAGCGAGTGAGAAAGTGAGCGAGCACGCATCGCTACCTCCAGCAGGTCGATCATGCGAGTCATCTGGGAGTAGATGAGGACGCGGTGGCCCTGCATCTTGAGACGGCACAGCAGGCAATCCAGCGCGTAGAGCTTGCCGCTGTCCGTGATCAGCGTCTCTTTGTCTGCAAAGCACATGTGGACGCGCGCACGGGTCGGTGAGTAACACGAGCACAGTCTGTAGTGAGGGGCTGCCCATTTCCATAGCACGGACGCACCGACAAAAACCCACCCCACATTGGCACGGGCACCCATTAAAGCTGTAATGCTCCACACTGAAATGGCACTCGTCTTTGAGATCCTTTCAATGGATTGCATGGCTAAACTACTGCACATCAACTGCAAAAACACTGATGCAAATGCTTCATGGTTTCCAAAAAAAATCATATAAATATATTTGTATATAGCCACTAATCCACCAGCTCTCTGTACCCATGTCATATAAGTTCTTACACAAGTGTAAAACATTTCTCCTGCACCTTTGCTTTGCCTGCCATATGAATGCCCTTTGGAGCGTTTTGACTCTGGTGCAATTTAATGCCCAGATAAAGACCTCCGTACTTCCCGTCTCTTGACACTTGATTAAATTTTCTTTAAATAGCCATTGAGCACAGGCCCAAAGGCCCAAGATGTCAAGAGGTCAGCAACAAACAGCAGTTAACATGCTTCAGCTTGTGAAGAGAGGCGATGAGAGGAAATTGTGCAAGTCTAGGCTGTCCAGTTGTTCAGCATTAGCTGAATAGCACCAAGCTGGAAGTCCGAACCTCTGCTATGAACTAATCGCATGACACTTGAATTCTGATGCCCACAGCCCCGATCGGCCTTCAGGTTTGTTAGAGGTTTGTGGTTCAAATCTAGCAGGTGCACCCTGGTTACCACCCTGGTTACCACCCTGGTTACCACGGAAGGCTCGCTGTGCTTTACAGTGAACACACCGTAAAGCACAGCGCGCTGTCCGTTTAACAGTGGACAATAAAGATCCCGTGACGACATTTGAGATGAGCGGGCCTTTCATTGTGTGCCGGCGCCAAAGCCCAAATTTGAAATAAACTCACAAAGTTAGTCAACCGGGATTGCAGGTGGGAATTATATCTTCTTGCTGGCAAGCTAATGCCCACTTCTAGGCCAGTGCCCGACCAATCCTGTGTTGAACAGCTGCCACCCGGGGTCCCCTTTGAAATGTGAGATGAGACACAAGGTGCTGTTCAGAGTTGCTGAGGCATTTGATTGCCGTATAAATGTTGTTGTCATAAAAAAAAATACAAGGGTAGGGGTCAGGGCATTTGGGAGGGAAAAGGGGAGGGGGGTTCCTACGATGAAAACAAGTAGCTGTTCGTTATGTTATACAATTTATGTTGCCATAAACAAATTACAATTCCGAAAGCGATGTGGTTAGTTAATTTTTCCACGGCATTCACACAGAGCACAGCGCGTGACACTGGCACCCGGGTCTCAGCACCAGGCCTCCACAGCACCTCAACGAACCTCAGTCACGCGAGACCAATCACCTCCACTATACCCCCAGGAAGTTTCCCTGCGTCTACCGCAGGTTAGCAGCCGTGCATCCACCACCCGATGCATGCGTCTACAGATTTCATAATTAAGGTTTGTTTGCGTTAGAGTGCGTAAGTATAAATGTGTTGTTAACCCAACCGATGATGCTGGATTAAATTACCAGCAAAACGTTGTACTAAAATTGTAAATGTTGTGGACTTACTCTCCAACACACTGGTGGGCTGAAGTAGTAACTAATTGGCATGTTTTGTTTCCGTGATAAACCTTACTAACAGGCTGTGTCGGATGGTGGTGGGTTAACGACACATTTATACTTACATTACCTAACCCGAAAAAAAACCTTTATTATGAGTAATATTGGTCGTGAAAGCCTGTGTCAAACTGTCTACATATTTAATGCCGAACCAGCATCAACATCATCGTCTTCATCATCATCATTAACATGAACCACACTCCATAGGCACTGCTCGGATCAAGACCTCCCCACCACACCGCTACGATGCAACAATCCAAGTAGCCGTAGTGCACGTGCCGATCTCTGCACCGGAGCTGCGCCAACCTCATGCCAACTCATGTGGCTGGCGCTGGTGATGGAGCTTTTGTCAAATTAGCTCCAAAATTTGGGCCCAAAACGCCACTCTCATCAGGAATTTTAAAAGCAGTGTGGCTCATGAGCAGGAAACGCACGGAGCGTGGCCGAATTGCCGTGCGATTAATTGCCGAGCGGTAGAAACAATCAGGATATTGCAAGGCGCCTTGCGGGCGTTTCACTACATAAAGGTGCAAGATGAATGCGATTATCACTGTCAATCTACACAAAATATCAATACGAACATTGTAAATGGTGGTGCCCATACGATGGAAATGACCCATATGGTACTCATAGATGTTATTCTAAGGACAAAGGTTTATTATTGTAAATAGGTCTTTAAAAAAAAAAACATTACTGTAAATAAAGAAATAAAACAAGCAAAAACAAAAGGGAAGTGCATAATGACTGGCGGGTCGCGGCCGCTGGAGCGAGATTGGGGTCGCAGACGTTTTCGACACAAAACACGGGGACCGGGGAGACCTCGGCAACAAAACAGCGCGCGGCCAGCGGCACGGCTGCCCCGCGCGTGCTGTACAAACAGGAAGGGGCTATTACTGGGCTCCGGTGCCGTCAGCACTTCCACACGGCCCTTGTTATGTAAAACGCGGCAAGGAGGCCGAGCAATGTTTTCATTTGCGTGGGGCGGGACCCCGAGCGCCCCGGCCTCCATGAGCTCCACTATTGCATCTCACGCAACCCAATCAACACGAACATGGAGCACCATCAACACGGCACCGTCAAGACGGACACGCAGCACCATCAACACAGCACCACCGACACGCAGCACCATCAACACAGCACTGTCAACACGAATACGCAGCATCATCAACACAGCACTGTCAACACGAATACGCAGCACCATCAACACAGCACCACTGACACGCAACACCATCAACACAGCACCACCGACACGCAGCACCATCAACACAGCACTGTCAAAACGAATACGCAGCACCATCAACACGGCAATGCCAACATGGCACTGTCAACACGAATACGCAGCACCATCAACACGGCAATGCCAACATGGCACTGTCAACACGAATACGCAGCACCATCAACACGGCAATGCCAACACGGCACCGTCAACACGGACACGCAGCACCATCAACGAAGAAGCGCAGCAACATCACCACGAACACCCAGCACCATCAACACGAACACACAGCATTGCCAAAGAAGCATTTTTAATATGTCTAGGCAGTGTAATGTGGTTTTAATCAGAAGTTATTATTTAGTTCATTTTGTATTTGTGCCATTCTTACAGAACAAGGTTATCACAAAAGGCCCAAGAGAGAGCCACACGTATCAACAGTTGAGGGGCTTCTTGGCAGTGCTGTATATGTGAAGAGCTGATTATAATGCGCGATGGCTTAGTGGATTGAGTGCTTGTTGCTCAGCTAGTCTGGATGGGGTTCCATCGATTGCCGTTTAATACACTCTGCAGGGACATTGCCTAGTGTACGGTTTACTGTTGAGAAAACGTAATATGTATCTTGAACTTCTTTTGCACCGTACGTAGCCAACCGTGCTAATCAGAGATGCGGGGAAGGACAACAAACTAACCCACAAAAAGCAGTTCAAAAGAAATGAGTTTTCAAACTAATGGAATAAGGGCAACACCAATTCTTCTCGTGAAATATCTTTACGAAACAAAACGGCTCTTTTGCATGTTGTTACCGGCCGTGATTAGCTCCTGAATGACAGCGTGGCCATTATCAGGCCCACAAGCTGGCATTGCTTTCTTCCTGTTTTCTGGCCGAGTCCCATGTTCTTGGTGAAGCAGCTCAGGAAAACGGCATTATTCACACACTTCCCCTTGCCGGAGGTTACCATGGAGGCCCGAGGCAGGGTGGGGGTGGTAGGGAAGCAAGCACACACACAATAACGCGTCGCCCCCGTTAATACGTACACAACGCAGAGGACGCGGCACGCGACACACACAGGCAAACAGGGAGCAGGCACGCGGCAAACGCGCAGTGCCCAACGTTCAATGGAGCACGCAGCACCGAGTGCACAAAGCAGGACATGATACAAAGCTGTACCAACATAACACGGCACGTTAATACGGCATGCAGCATTGAACGGGGCAGTAGAAGGCATACAGCACCACTCGAGGTTGTAATTCCCAAGAACATTTGACTATGCTCTTATTGTTATTCACGTTTCAAACGTTTGCAATGACCAATTAGGTGCCAGGGTTCAGTCTGAGTCCAAAGTTATACAACGGTTCTCGAGTGCACTGCGGACTGTGTAGCGGTCTCATCAGCGATGACCGATTGCGCTAAGCACCCCGTGCACGGCAACTTCGGCCTGGCATTTGATTTACAGTATTCAGCAATGAGGAACCGAGCCGTATTTGTGCAGAGAGGGGGCAGAAAACCACTTCCATACAGCCGTAGAGGCGGTGTCTCGTGACTGTGGTACGAGAGGCACGCAAGCGCCACACGCTATTCTATGGCGTCTAGTTCCGGGGATTTGTCCTCGAAACGTGACACTTGACCGTCAACAAGACGTTAAGCAATAAATAGCTATTTCACCCAGAAGCAGTGATGCATCCGTGCGGCCCGACTTGCTGCACGAGACGGACTGAAAACAGTGCACAGATTCAGCACTCGTCTCCAACGGTGACCTGCGCCAGTCATTGAAATTCCAAATTACCATGGCAGTTCCAGCCATTTTTGACTTTCCAAAAAGCATTAATACAATTTTCGGCCCAAGAGAGACCATATGCAGAATTGACCGGCAACTTGGTGAGTCAAGATTCTTATTATGAATTATCAAAACAGTACTGTGGGAAAACACGCAAAGTATATTAAATAAATCAAACTTGAAACGATGAAATTGAAACATGCAGGCATTAACAAAAGAGGTCGCACACAGGAAAGCAGGTGGCTCAGGTGCTGTCATGACCGGGATCACAGGCTAAGTTGCAACGTTGGCGCGCGTGTTACGCACCACGTGACGCTTCACCCAAACAGTCCCTCTCCCTGGGGGTGACCAACGAGGGCCTTTACA